TCACCACACACATCAATAGTCTCCTGTGTGTCATACTACAGCAAGGAGTTTGGAAGAATATGCTTTTGAATAATTTTGGGGAATATTTATAATGTAAAATCTTCAAATATGGCATCATCTTCAATAACTTTACTATTATACAGTATATTTCTACCAAACTCACTATTTGCATTGCTGTTGTTAGCATCTGGTTAGCTAGCTGCGCTAACAGATATTAGAAGCTGTTTCTAAAACAAGGAGGGAGAGCTCTGTCCTGTCAGACTGAGAGAGATAACTACAGCTCAGTGAGGTAAGGGACTCTCTGTGTTTAGATAGTTAACTTTAGTCTAGTTATCTCAGTGGGTCTCAAACGGTTTGGTCACCATTTATGAGAATAAATGAAAAACAGTTATGAAATACTATATGACAGTAAAACAAGAATAAAGTTTAAAAGGTGAGTGATTTGTAAAATATCCATAAAGAAAAAGGAAATCTGTTTAAAGTTCTGTTTCATATGGGTGTTGAGAGATAGCCCTGGTTTATGGATTATCAGAAATCATTTCAAAGGGACACAGACACATTAGATTAACCTATGGATTAACTTCAGCAGCGTTTTTATCGTTTTAATGCCATTGAAGACCACTTTGGAGAGACTACAGAGCCAAGGTAACCTTGTTAGCATTTTTAGCTACCTAGCGTCACCTGTTTTGATGTCTGTTTTTGCTTATAACGTCGCCATTTCGTATAATTCAGTGATAATGAGGGTACCCATGGATTCTGTGTCACCTCACGATGTGAAACGATGTCATGGATGTAGAGAAGAGATAAATAATAAGGTTTTGTGAGTGATTTTCGGTGCAGTAAGGTGTTAGCATTTTTCGCTCGTTGCTAATTCAGAGGCTCAGTGTTAGCATTGTGGGTTTTCTTTTGAAAAAATTAATAAAAATGATCAGTTAGATGAGTTTCTTCCCGTTACATGGATATAAAACATTCATAGTTTATTAAATGAACATGCCCTCAGACACTGTTTCCTGCAAGATGTTGCGGCAGTGCCCCGGTACCGGGGTCTCTCGGGCTTAACAGGTTAACCAATAAAAAAACACTCGCGGACCACCTAACTCCACAAATATCCAAAAGCAAACTAACTCCACAAATATCCAAAAACTTCATTGCGGAGATATTCCCGCGTGAGTGCGGAAAACTTAAATGTATTTATTTATTTCAAATGTGAAATTTTACCAATATACTCACGGACCACTAGGGGGCGCTCACCACACTTTGAGAAGCACTGATCTGTCTGATCTGATTTATTATGACTGTAGCGCAATCAAAGCTTTAATATTTGGAAATGTACCACCCCTAGTTCACTATGTTTTACTTTATAAACAGCGAACCATTCTTTTTTTTTAACACTTTATTTTTGAAAGGTTTCATTACAAAGAAAAATCCTACAGAATGTCATTGAGCAGTCAAATACATACTGCAGATGCAACAGTGCAGTGCAGTGAACAAGTTGTGAAAAAAAGCCTATGAAAAATGTCAACATGCAAACCTTTTAAATAAAACATTTATCTTCAAAAATAAATCTAACCAAACAGCCAGGATTGACCTGCAGGAGGTCAAAGCCTTTTTGAAAAGTCCTCCGAACACACAGCTCTTCTGAGTCTGTCCCTGGAGTCCTTCAGCCTTTGTTGTGCTTCCTCACTCATGTTGTTGCTCATGGGAACAAAGCTGCTTCTCACTGATAAGACAAGATGGTATAAAGAAGTGATATATGTAATATTACAAATGTGAATCCATCAGGGGTTTTACACTTGAATGGAAATTGTATTAGCATTCTCCTCATGTTTCCAGCTTACCTCCAGTCATACTCGGGGCCACATTTATATTTTTCCTTGGCTCTTTCAAGGGAAACCGAGAGTACGGCTGCGAGGGCGTGGACGGTCGCCTGTGTCATGAAGGGATTAAAGCCACACGTTTAACAGTTAGAGTAACATTTAGACATCCAATAAAGGTTGTGCCATTCTGCAGGTGACAACTATGCCAGACCAATTGGCATCAACATTCTACTGGATATTGACCATCAGTGCAACATATGTCATTTGATATAATGTGTAGTCGACAAATAAAAAATAAAGAAATAACACATGTATCCATAAAGTGTGAGGCATTAGACCTTAAGGACACTTGGAGACCATTCAACATTCAAATGATGAAGTATAAAATGATCATATAGAGTTATAGATGGACTTACCTCCATGTGTTACAAGCGCCCTCTGGTGGCTCTGAGCCATCAGGCCAGGGTACGACTGGAAAGGGTCCAAGTCCAGTTTGTTGAGCTCTGGGGCCTCATTTATAAAGGGATATACGCTCAAAAAATGGCGTACGCCAGTTTCTACGCAATGTTTGCGATTTATAAAATACTAACTTGACGGGAAAATGTGCGGTCCTCCACGCAAACTCTAACCCATGCGTACGCACTAAGCACACACACGGGAGAGACGAGAAACTGCGACACCGTTGGCAGAAGGAAGAATGGAGAGAAATATGTGGAAATAATACCATAAATAAAATGTTACCTCTCATTTATCAAATATGAAGAATTCATTTTCAAACATTGATTAAAGCCAATCTTTAAATGATGAAACAAACGCCTGTTTGAGACTCCTCAGTGCACACAAACACATCACTTGGAGAAATAAATAAATATGGATATGTTATTTAAAACCACCTCGAATATGTTGTGTTAATGTAATGAAATGTTTTCTCATAAATGATGCAGTAAGCAGGAGGACAGAATTACGTCTAAACTGAGGCCGTTTTGCATTTCTATAGGTTGTAGATACGAGCATGGTTTTATATACTATCACGTTTAATCGTGTTTTATGCCGTTTGCCAAGACTTGATAAGTGGCTCGTAAAACACAGGAGGTATGGAAACTAAGAACACCATATGTGGTAAACAGCTAATATAACACAACACATTGTATTTCCTTTAACTGGTGGATTCTGGAGATATAGTTGCTGATCGACAGCTGGAACACAAACCACCAAATACAACACAATAATTCAGATCCAGTCGTCATGACTACACTCCGGAGGGATTCCCCCATCATTTCTTACAGTTTCTCATCAAGGGGGGGGTCTCCTGTCCCCGGGACAAACACACTGCCTGAGGAAGGCTATGTGTATTTTTTTTGTCATTAACTTTTTTCGGACCACTTATTTATTTATGTTGGTGACGATCCGACCTCCATGCTGCTCCTCTGGTTCAAACTGCATCCACCAAACAATATGATTTATCTCCACCTCCCCAAAATAACCAAAATCTGACACGGTGTGAGATGTCTTTTTTAGCTGTTCTGTCCTCATTTCCTGCGATATTCTTCATGCAGTCAGTCAGAATGAATGGATGGATGAATGAATGGGCGTTTCTTTGACTATTTATAGGCAAATATGGGTGTTACGAGTCGATTGTGATTTATAAAGGGAAACAGGCGTAGGGAGTGCCGTACGCACTTCCCTCGCCGGTACGCAATGTTTTGTGAATCGGAAAATGGCGGAAAATGTATGTACCTATTTTTGTGCTTTGTACTACGTAAGCAACCTTCCTACGTCAATCCTACGCAAGGCGTTATAAATGAGGCCCCAGGGCATGCTCCATCTGGGAATGTTGTGTTGTTTGGCTATAGGTGAACACAATATAATACAATTGAAGTGAGTTTATTATTATATTGGAAATAGTTAACTCCTTAAACAAGCGGCAATGGACTGGCCTGTATAATCCTATGGGACGAAGCTGGTCATACTTCCTCACTTTCAGAAGGTTTAAAGAGAAACTAAGAATAAAAACTCATACATTATTTGATCATTTATTTTAAACGTCAGGCCGCCAACATGGCCACTAACCCCATCTACAAACAGAGGCGCTTTCCTAATTACCTGACTGCGTTACTTGGCTCTACCCAATACGTTTATATCATTTTACTTTAAACCACACCTAAAGGAATAATATAAGTATAGAACACTGCATATGTACATGTCTACAGTATAGCAACGAATACATGTTTTAAATAAATAAACATTAAAATGTGAAAGACTCTCCTTCAAAGGAATTTTTATGAATATATAAAACTTACACAAAATCAGATTCTTGTAAAAATGTGAGTATATGCATTGTTCCATCTGCCAAAATAAATAACATAGTGAAAATAAATATATTGCAATGCTCAAAACAGCAGCATCCAACAGTCTCTAATCCTTGGATATTACATGCCACTTGTATTACTTAACAAAAAATAACAAAAACAAAAAAAACGCTCGTTCGCGGGCGCGAGCCGGCTCCCGTCGTTCACTTAAAAGAGCCGGCTCGTTCGCGACCGACACATCACTACTGCAAACAACAAACTAGACTTTTGAAACTAGAGGAAGATAAGGAGGACTTTTACAAAACAGTAATAGAGATTGTTGTCCAGAAGGATAGCATGGACTTCATCTTCAAGTCAAGGTAAGACCACAACTGTAATGAAAATGGGATCTTACTTAGAAAGAACAATCCAATATTTAGATGTTGGGTATCCTTTTGTTGAACGGTCTGTTTAAAATTAATCATAGCATCAGACTAAAAAAGCTTTTGAAAATAACAGAATATTTCGATTAAGGTCAAAATATAATATTTGTAAATCTGACTCTGAAAGAGTCAGTGCCTCACCAGCCATGAACCTCACCGCACGTCACTGCTAATTTGATAAAGTTTCAAATTAATTTCTGAAATATTTCGTTAATAAATATTTCATGAGTAATATAGTTGTCTTTGTCACATTTTATTTGGCATTAGTAAATAATTATGCACATTTACAGATATTTTACATGATATGAGTGATAACACGTGTTATAAGGGCTATTTTGCACAATAGGTGTGCCTTGAGATTTTGTACTTGTCCTTTGGTGTGCCTTGGGCACAAAAAGTTTGGGAACCACTGACGTAACGGACTGATACGGAAGTTGCAGTACCGCCGTTTGGACACAACGAATATTGGGCACAGAGTCCGGCGCACTTCGTGGGGGCTTGGTCAAACCTCCAGCTGGGGGGCCGCAACCCAGGTGTGGGCGGGGCAGGTGAAGAACCAGGTGGTGAAGCGGAGAGGAGTGACTCTCGAGTACCCGGATGTCAGCTCCGCAGGACAGCCACCGGAGAACCGGAGCAGGTTCACAGAGACGAGGAAACACGCTTACAGGTGAGAGAAAGTGGAGAGAGAGGAGCGGTGTTGGAGCTGTTCGGACGGGTTGCACGGAGCACCCTTATATGAGGTGTGATTTGTGCCAAAGAGCGAACTCACTGAGCAGACAATCGTGTCGGTCGTCGCCATGGATGTATAATAAGAACTGGATACAGCGTGGGAGGCGGGGCCTCATTCATTCCTATGAGAGTTGCTCATTCGCGCATGATGATAAAATGGCCCAACTTTTGAGAGAGCGAAACGTCACAGATTACCCGGCATGCCTGAGAAGTACCCGTATGTGCGCTCATAGCGCATGCGCAACTTTAACCATGCCCCCCAAAATGCTCGTTCACATCAAGCACGTCAATTTGCGTACACGTAACAGCACCGCACGTTCATGACAGCATGGTAATGTTTGTTATGATAGATTTGATATTAACGAGGCGGCAGTTAGCAGCTAGCGGTTAGCTAGTAATTATGCTAATTTACACATCAATCGTTATGTACTTTTATATTACGCTGTAACAGGATCTAGTGATATCCAAGCAACAGAGCTTCATTTAGCATGAAAGAATTATTGCACTGTATATATATATATATATATATATATATATATACACACAGTGCAATAAGCTTCTTAGTGCAATAAGAAGCTACAGGGACGTTAATCTACGTCGGTAATATTAACTTTATTTAATACAACATTTACGGTACAAGATTTAATCATACAGCCCATGTAGTATAATATGTTATAAATGATGAATTACAGCAAACATGTGCAATATATCCATTATTACAGCTCCGTGGGCTGGCAGTAAGGCGATATGGGTCCGTTCTTATTGTGCATCCATGGGTAAAGATAAACGCATGTAGTGCTGAACACGTAACATGAACGTGCCGGGCGGCGCGGTCCCGTGGGTTAGATGCGCGTTCATAATGCAGAGGGAAATAACTCTCAGAATAACGTTATTAGCACATTTTACAACTTGAGGAACGAATGTTTTTAATAAGGGCTATACAAGTGTTCATACTGGGTAGTTTATTTAGTTTAAAAAAAATTATCCAACGATTTACAGACCACTCTTTCCCCATGTAAGTCAATGGGAAAAAGTGTTTCCGGGCCTGGCAACCAAAAGGAAGTGTAGTACCGCCGTTTGGCCAGCACGAATATTTTCATCAGAGTCCGGCGCACTTCCTGGGGGCTTGGTCGTCGCCTACCATGCCGTGAACTATGCCGTGAGAGAAGTAACGTGACACTCTCGTCGCCACCCCTCTCGTCTGAGAAGCTACGTGACGTCTGCGTCTGAAGTTACTTTACTTTGGTCACCAAATAACCCAGTAATGTTACAGCTACTTAATTGCTGTTCAAGCTAGACTCTATTTCAATATAGTTTTGGTATTAAAATAATGTTACACCTCTTGTATGCCCTGAATACAAAAAACAACCACAGACAAGAATATATATTTTTAATTATCAAAATGATAACAAAGGCTGAAAAAACAGGAGAAGCCTGTCTTCCCTTGGTCTCCAGGAGAAAACTGTATATCACCAAGTTTTCATATAGTTTTGTGTGTGAAATAGATCGCTGCAGTGAACACGACTTTATGTATTTGTTTATGGTTTATTTGATGCAGTATACATAGAAGTTCAGAGAAGAGGCAACCCCTATATATTGTTTATTTTATTTCATTTTGGCACCATGGCAGAGGCAAATATAGAGTTAATGTGCAGAGATTATAATGTCCCGTTTACTAAAATATGTAGGCTATTGTTTTATGATGTTTAGTTGACAAAATAGTCACTGTGCTACATTTTGCTGCACTCAAGCATACATCTGAAGACAAGAGTTGTGTCCCCCTTTGGCCACAAGGGGGAGTATATATATATTGTATATATATTTTGTATAGATGTTGCAACTATACAGAGCTTTGGCAATACTATATGTAACTGAGGTCATGCTAATAAAGCTATTGAATTGAATTGAGTATACCTTTAAGTGAGCTGTCAGGAGGAAACAAAGGTTCACCAACACATTGCACTTTAATGCTGAGAAAGTACAAAGACGTGAAACGATGTGCTGCAATGTCTGTGTCTTTTTGAAGAATGCCAAGTAAAGGAAGAAAGTAATAACTCGCACTGAGTCTTAATACATTACTTTATTTCTATTATATAAAAACACTATCCAATGATTTATTATGTTTGTGTTACACACACACCATTACTGAATTCATTCTAAAACCAAGAATAACCTACATACAACAATAGGGAGCCCTGGCTCAAGGACGGACAACACAAGGACACCACACATGATTATTTTCCAATTACAGTATATTTATTTAAAGAGAGTAACTCAATTGTGATATCAGTTAATCAGTAATGTGTGTAGCGTACGGGTGTGTGATGTGTCAGCAGGGCCGGACTGGGACCATAGGTCAGGTCAGGAATCATACACCCAGCCAGGCCACTAATAGTTTAGTTTGGGGGCGTTTTGCTGGATGTATCATCAATATTTACAACGTTGCTGCCCGTAGTGATAGCCCTACAGTTTGAATCTACTACTTAAAGCTCCCATGTCATGCTTTTCCGGTTATTACCCGTCCCCTTGTGTGTTATGAAGGTTTTTATGCATGTAAACGGTGTGCAGAGTCAAAACCCTCAAAGTACACCCTGTAGCGAGTAAAACTCTAACACAGAAAATACCTCCCCAAAACGCCTCGTTGGAGATACGTCACTGCCCATTTGAGTCTTCCATTTAGTTCCGGGTACCGCCTGATGTCATGCGGTACCCGGAACGAAATGGACCAATCCCGAAGAGCTATGGCCACACCAGCAGCGGCGTGTTCCTCCTCCAGAGGTTCGAAGAACCGGCATTTCACAGACGAAAGCTTCCAAAACATTGCCCAGTTTGAGGCCGGATATGCACAGCTTGTTTGGACCGTTTGGAGCAGGGGAAGATCTGGGTATACAACCTGTAAGTTTGCATTGTTATTTGTGTATTTATCAAACAAGACTGTTTAAATGTGTAAACTATGTTGGACTGCTAAGCCATTGACACAGTGCTAACTGTGCTAACTAAGTTGCTAGAGTTTCCATATATCAACTCTAATATCAGCAGATGGCCTTGCATACATGTATCTCATAGCAGGAGAATGTCTGCATTCACACACAAAATACCTATTGACAGTATACTGCGGGTGATTTGCCGGTCAGTCGCGAAACGTAATTACATTATAGCTGGCGTAGCGATCTAACACACGGAGCTAGAGCTAGTTTTGGTCGGAAAAACATTTTTGTGATGCTACGTTGCTAGCGTTTAAATATATCAACTACAATGTCAGCAGATGGCCTTACATGTTTGTCATGGCAGGAGAATGTCTGCAGTCACACACACGGAATACTCATACAGTATACTGTACTGTGATTTACCGTACATTGTGACCGTACATATACTGCATGTAGCTAACGAGGCTAGCTGTATGCTAGCGCAAAACAATGTATTCATGCAAGTTACATTGTATGGTAGCAGAACACCCGTATACGATTGCAATTATAAACACGTTATTGCTAGCCTAATATGAACCACTAGCTTTTGTTCATAGTAGTTTTATTACACTGCATTATAGTTGCCTTTCCTCCAAGCTAACGTTCATATCGTGTTAGCTACCAAGGTAAACAAAGCTAGGTTAGCATATTAGCAGGCAAGCTGTTCATTACACAACTACTACTAACGAATCTAAAACAACTAAGTTTCTCTAATATTTTGTGATTTGCATTTGATTTCGTCCAGCCAGATCCTGGCGGACAATCCATGACGGGGAAGGGATTCTACTACTACTGAGGGCTCGTGCTAAAAGGCAACGCACCGGCTGTGCGCAGGCAAGATGCGAGGAGGAGGAATGGATGATATACCGTGTATATATGTATATTTATGTTCATTTTGTACATTTCTAAAAATAAAGTTTAATGGAAATACTTAGTAGGCCTATCCTTTCTTCCCTGAATTCATATATAGCAAACCATGATTTGATTTCTCATCAAACAGTAGTAGTTTATAACGGGTAAAAATAACTTACTCTTTGTTATGAGAGTAGCTCGTAGGCCACAACGGAAAGACAAGGAGACATACACGAGTTTACAAAACCACGGCACATTTATTGTGGTAAATGCAGAGACAGGTGGTTGAGAGGATCGCAGAGTTAGTCTTCCTGCAGCCGCTTTGGAGAGAGACTGTGTCCGGAGGTGTCCGTGATCGTGCTGATTACCCTCTTCAGCTCCACCCCACCGTAAGACAAAGGCCCTGAGGCCGTCACACTCTTCTATAACAACAGTTAAAAATATATATGTATATAAAATATACCGCTGTACCGACGCCATGATAAGACTGATGTTACGCTGAGAGCAGCCGGGAAAAGCACTGACATGGGCGCAGCCTCTCTGGTGGTTGACTAATCAGAACGAGTGGCCGAGCTGACCAATCGGAGCACACTAGGCTCACAGGGAGGGGGGGGCAAGAGCTCCAACGAGTCGTTTAGTGGAGAAAGTGAATACTGCTGAATACACATGCTTGACAGAGATGCTGTATGCGAAACCAATGTGAGTTTGGAAAATTGCACAGTATAAATCTATTTTAGTATACCTCAACAATGTAATTATGATCAGTGGAAATGGCCATGACATGGGCCCTTTAAATAGAAACATATGGACATAGGATATTGTTAAAAAAACGTGTGCATATGTATTTGGGAACCTTTCCATGTGAACATGTTTTATTTGGGGGTGGACCTCAAATGGATTAAACTGTGATCAATAACTATAGTAACTTATTGAGAGAACATGAACATAGCTTGCTTATACTGTTGTCATTACATTTCCTTTGTTCAGTGTTTTCATAGACATAGCCTATTGAAACAGTTTCCTCTGTACCTGCCAGTTCTGTCCACTGAGCTCTGCATCTCTCCCTCAGGGCCATCACCATCAGCATCATCTGATAGTGGAACTGAATAAGGAGAACATGTAATCATTACATTAACAACTATTTATGAAATAACATTATTCAAGAACATATATTATGCAACACTTATTTTATCACTTAGTTGACCCTGTATTTGCATGGCCTAATACCATAATGAGTGTCTCCCCTTTAGACAACATAACCATCTCAAGTGATTCACTCACAGTATGAGGGGTTTGTCGCCCCACAGTTAGCTGCAGTCTAACGGTTATATTACATATATTTGCCTTGAGTAACATTAAGGACATGTTTGGGTTTTGTGTAGCCTTATAGTCTCCAGTCACACAGGGCCTGCCACTAACTTAGCATTGGACTGAGAAACTGTTTTGTTGACAGTCGATGTGCACATCAGGCTACAATATAGAAAGAAATGTGGCTCATAATGTTCGCTCACTTACTTTCTGCTTCGTCATTCTCTATACCATAGGGGGTTCTGAATAAATCAGTGATTTTAGCACATTTCACTGCCTTTTGCTGCAGGATGGGGGTCCATCCTTCCACAATAATGAACCTTGCCGTCAGTTTCAGTCGGTCCAGTCCACACTAATGTAAACAGCAGCTCGCTGGTCTCGTGAGAAACGGAGAGTGGAACAACCAATCACATCTTCATTATTCTCCTGGAATGTAAATGTGCCCATTCGCTAGTCTGACACATAAGCCTCATCTCAATACCCCTCCTCGACTCCTCCTTTCCCTCACTCGCATCCCTTCCTTGCGTCTTAGCTCCGCCTCCGTAAGATGCGAGCGAGAGACACGAGGAGGTGACGCGAGGACAGAGGAGTCCTCAGGTATTAATTGGGATGTCCTCGTTCACTCAAACGTCACTTTTAAACGACGTCTGTTAATGATGACATGTGCACAGCTGTGTCCCCTCTCATCGGGCTTAACTGAATAACCCTTAGAACCTTTAGAACCTTTAGAACCTTTAGAACCGGCCCATTTGTTGTTAAATAGTTATTTAAATGAATGAATCTTTCTCTTGTTAGTCAAGGAATTCAATGTATGATGGTTGGTCCTGCTTTTGTGTTCCGTTTTGGTGTAAAATGTACATTTCAATAAAATTATAATGAGAATAATGTGAAAGCCTTTACTCTGAACATGTGTGTCCTGTAGATCCCCACATTCACCACAAACACACATTCAGGACTGTGCATTTTAAATAATTTAACTCCTGAACATCTTAACACAAAACAAAACAAATAATTGTTATTTATCAAGATCTAGCCATTTATGAAATAGCTTTCTTAATAGCTATGTTTTAGTGACGTTCAAGATCATTAAATATGACTTCAATTGTTAGTATAACCTTAAGAAATGAATTGCACATAATAATTCCCACGGAGCTGTGAGCACTTATACATTTATGTGACGCTTTCCCACTCATCTTCCAGTTCTCCGTTTTCCTCTCTTGAAATCGACCAGCTGTGAAGGTGGGGGCGGGGCCAGCTGTGAAGGTGGGGGCGGGGCTTTGATACGCGAGTAGTGAAAACACTTCCGCGTAGTCTGCTCTCGTGTATCCTCCCTTTCGTCTCCTCCCGCACCCCTCCTCCCTCACCCCTCCTCGACTCCTCCGTGTGCATTTCAGCTATTGGGACGTCCTTCAACATGGCGTGTCTTGATCGATTTCCAGGTCAAGTCCCGGAGGAGGGGAAGAGAGGAGTCGAGGAGGGGTATTGGGATGAGGCTATAGACTGTATAAAGGTCTGGTCTGACAGGTGCGTGGTTCTCACTGCGCTTCATACCGGTGCAACTTTGAACACCTTCAATATATGCCGCATTAATTGATTTGGCCTGCAGTCACCGCATCTGGGCTGAATTAAACACGTATTATTTTAGTCCTGTGTGTTTATTAGAGGCCATGTCAGCAGGCCACATCATGCCAGCGCTGCGTTCACAAGACATACAAGCCACAAACTGGCAATCGAAACATGCTACAACCTGATGGACAGTGAATGAGACACACAGACACAGACACACCCACACACACCTTGAGGGAGGGAGGGTCAGCTGATCGCCGTGCAGCAATCAGCTGTTCCCGAGCAGAGAGAGAGAGAGAGAGAGAGAGAGACAGCTGCTAGACACAACTCTTATTAATCCCCGTACCGGATAATTGTTATTTGTTCCAAATCGGTACCGGATTTCGGTTCCCGATCCTCATCACATCCCCAGCCACAGCCGTGGTCTTAACCGGTCTTGACATAAAATCTCGAGTCCTATAGGTCTGATACAGAGACAATACGAAACCAAATGCAGTCGATTCCGAGACCAATAGCGTTAAAAAGTGGTCTGGAGACCGGTCTCGAGTACAACACCAGCAAATATTCTCATACTAATGATTATTAATTATTATTCCCCTCTCTTCTGATACCAATACTGTGCCGATGAGAAAGTGTACCTGTAACACTCTCCAAACTAGGAGCGGAATCATTCGAAAAATATAATATAGGATAATGCTATACAATGCTAACGGAGGCGAGACGTACGTTATTCACGCGCTTATCCACACGTACGTTATTCACGCGCATATCCACACGTACGTTATCAACACGCATATCTAAGATAGTGCTTTCTAAGCTACGCCGCCGCTACGTGAGCGCGTACTTTGAGCGCACCTATGGTACGTCGCCGTGACGTCTGACGTCTGACATCGTCGTGACGTCGCCTGTATTCTACGTCAACCCATTCAAAATTGATGGAGGCGTTGGCGCACGTTGACACGTCAGTTCTCCGCTCAGTTAGCTTAGTTATCTGTTCTTTGGCACAAATCACACCTCATACACGGAGCACCCTCAGCCCCTCAGCCTGAAGCAGGAAGCGCTTCCTCCATCTCACTGCTTCCTCCATCTAACTGCTTCAGCTAACCCGTGAATTCACTGGTTCATTTCACCACTGTAGGGCAAGACATTTAACAACACTAATAAGTAGAAGAAAGGTGTTGAACTATTATATTTGTACAGAGTAAATAAGAGTACTTCTCCCACCACATACATTTACTGTTTAAGGTCGTACTTGATACGTGATCGCATCTCTCACTTCCTCAGTTCACCCGTGAACTCATTGGTTCATTTCATCAGCGTCACTAAAGATATTCAACTTAGAACACCAATAAGCAGGGTGGGTTACTTTAAGAAGTCATTCGTTACAATAACTAGTCAAATAGTAATACCTCACCTGACTGGCAGAGAACCCACTGCCCCTCCCTAAATACACATGGTGGTATTTAAATACACAGGGTGGTATATAAATACACATGGTGGTATATAAATACACACATGTTTAGTGTTAGTACTCATGTATTGTACTTTAGTCAAAGTAGAAGTAGTCAGATCTTGTACTTGAGTAAAAGTAGAAGTACTCAGATCTTGTACTTGAGTAAAAGTAGAAGTACTCAGATCTTGTACTTGAGTAAAAGTAGAAGTACTCAGATCTTGTACTTGAGTAAAAGTAGAAGTACTCAGATCTGGTACTTGAGTAAAAGTAGAAGTACTCAGATCTTGTACTTGAGTAAAATAGAAGTATTCAGATCTGGTACTTGAGTAAAAGTAGAAGTACTCAGATCGTGTACTTGAGTAAAAGTAGAAGTACCAGAGTGTAGGAATACTCTGTTTCAGTAAAAGTACTGCATTCAAAATGTTCCTCAAGTAAAAGTATAAAAGTATTCTCATCAAAATATAGTGAAAGTAGAGACAGTAAAAGTAGTCATTGTGCAGATTGGTCCATTTCAGAATAATATATATGATATGTTTTATAATGATTGATCATGAAAGTGTTCTCAAAGCTGGTAAAGGTGCAGCTAGTTTGAATGACTTTGTATACTGCAGGGTAGCTTGTGGATTTACTCCAGGTGGAACTAAAGTCTGATTTAACACTTGATTATATTTCACATCATTCATCCACATCTGTGAAGTAACTAAAGGTATTCAATACATGTAGTGGAGGAAAAGTACACCATGTACCTCTGAACTGTAGTGGAGTAGAAGTACACCATGTACCTCTGAACTGTAGTGGAGTAGAAGTACTCCATGTACCTCTGAACTGTAGTGGAGTAGAAGTACACAGTAGCATACTTTGGAAATACTCAAGTAAAGTACCTCTAAATTGTACTTAAGTTCAGGACTTGAGTACATGTACTTAGTTACTTTACACCTCTGGTATTGAACTGGTATCAGTGTCCTCCCTAACCAAAGAAAGAGACAGAGGCGTTCCTCTCCATGGAGCCGTCACGCTGACTGTTTTTTGGGAGGGATTATATTCCATATCACAGCCTGAGACCCTGCAGGTGAACAGGGTGGAGCTGTTCCAACAGATCTCCCTGTTAACACAATCATGCTTTCTATTACAAGTTTACTCTTGAAGCTTTGCATTATTGAACGCTGTATGGAAAGAGCAGCATTCCATTAAACGTCTCTGAGTTAAAGGGTTATCTTTTGATGTGCTGAATAGGATTTGGAAGTGCCGTTTCAATTCTGACTTAATAATATTGAACTAAAATGAGTGAAAGCATGATGTGTTCTGTGTGTCTGAACAGAGGAACGTGCTGCTGTCTGTCATCATGTGAGTCTCTTCTGTTTGTAGTTTGAATGGAGAGCAGCAGCAGACGCTTTGCATACGTCTTCATCTGCATGGTGGGAGCAGTGACAATACTCCTCGTCTACCTGGACCCGGACTGGGGCTTTGAGAGCAGGGACGCACCAGCACCAGCATCACTGGCAGCTCCAGCATGGAAGGATCCTGGGCCCTATTACGTGGCCTACCCAGGAAACTACAAATTCATCATGGACGACACCCAGACGTGTAAAACCACCAGTCCTTTCCTGCTCCTGGTGGTCCCGGTGGCCCCTGGGGGTGTGGCAGCTCGGGACACCATCCGGAGGACGTGGGGGAGTGAGAAACTGGTTCTGGGTCAGCGGGTGGAGACTCTCTTCGTACTGGGCCTACCTTCAGGAGCTGATGCCGAGCAGCAGCAGGAGAAGCTCCAACAGGAAAACCTGCAGCACCAGGACCTGATCCAGAGTAACTTCAAGGACGGCTACCACAATCTGACCATCAAGACGATGGTGACACTGGAGTGGTTGGTTGCGCGCTGCGACAAGCTTTCCTACGTCATGAAGATTGACGCCGATATGTTGCTGCACGTCCAGAATTTGGTTAAACTGTTACTGGATCCCAGCACGGCCAAACAGAACTACATGACAGGTTTGGTGTGGTGGCACAGCCCGGTCTTGAGAAACCCGTTCAACAAGTTCTACATGCCGAGATATGTGATTGCTGAGCCGGAGTACCCGCCGTATCCTCTGGGCATGGCCTACGTCATGTCCCTGGACCTGCCTGCCAAGATCCTGGCAGCCGCCCCTCACATTAAGCCCATCTTCATCGAGGACGCCTACCTGGGTATGTGCCTGAAACACCATGGCCTTTCTCCCACCAACGCTCCTGAAAGCACCATGTTCATGGTGGACCCCAGGCATCCTCTGAGCGACTGCAGCCTCTCCAGAGTGATCGCTGCGACCACCACCAGCATCCCACAGATGACCAGTTACTGGGAGAGGAGCAGGGGGGCTACATGTTGAACTGTGTCAGGTTTGAAAACTCTGAATAGTTTTGAGTTTTTAGACACAGATGTTTTTCAAAGTGTGTTTTGCCTCCTTAGTGGGCGTGTGCCGTGGCATGAGGATGCCTTAAGAAACTCATCTTTTGTTCTGAGCGCTAAACCCTTCACATGTCTTTCTGTCCCCACAGGAAGAGGAGAGCAACACTCTTTAAACATGCTGTTGTTATTTGCATTAAACAATGTCTGAGATAAAACATCTTGTAATAAATCAACTGTTTGAATGGATTATAAAGAGCTTGCTAGAGCTGCTGTTTGGAAGTTAAAGAGCTCATAATGTGTTCTCATATATCTCTTTTAAACAAATGAAATGACCACAGAGAGGAACACCAACACCACACGGCCACAAGGTGGCGCAGAAAGACTACACGGAGATGTGGAAGGTGTGCAGCATGTATTGATGAGGAAGGTGTGCAGCATGTATTGATGAGGAAGGTGTGCAGCATGTATTGATGAGGAAGGTGTGCAGCATGTATTGATGTGGAAGGTGTGCAGCATGTATTGATGAGGAAGGTGTGCAGCATGTATTGATGAGGAAGGTGTGCAGCATGTATTGATGAGGAAGGTGTGCAGCATGTATTGATGAGGAAGGTGTGCAGCATGTATTGATGAGGAAGGTGTGCAGCGTGTATTGATGAGGAAGGTGTGCAGCGTGTATTGATGAGGAAGGTGTGCAGCATGTATTGATGAGGAAGGTGTGCAGCATGTATTGATGAGGAAGGTGTGCAGCATGTATTGATGAGGAAGGTGTGCAGCATGTATTGATGAGGAAGGTGTGCAGCGTGTATTGATGAGGAAGGTGTGCAGCGTGTATTGATGAGGAAGGTGTGCAGCGTGTATTGATGAGGAAGGTGTGCAGCGTGTATTGATGAGGAAGGTGTGCAGCATGTATTGATGAGGAAGGTGTGCAGCGTGTATTGATGAGGAAGGTGTGCAGCATGTATTGATGAGGAAGGTGTGCAGCGTGTATTGATGAGGAAGGTGTACAGCATGTATTGATGAGGAAGGTGTGCAGCATGTATTGATGAGGAAGGTGTGCAGTATGTATTGATGAGGAAGGTGTGCAGCATGTATTGATGAGGAAGGTGTGCAGCATGTATTGATGAGGAAGGTGTGCAGCATGTATTGATGAGGAAGGTGTGCAGCATGTATTGATGAGGAAGGTGTGCAGCGTGTATTGATGAGGAAGGTGTGCAGCGTGTATTGATGAGGAAGGTGTGCAGCATGTATTGATGAGGAAGGTGTGCAGTATGTATTGATGAGGAAGGTGTGCAGCATGTATTGATGAGGAAGGTGTGCAGCATGTATTGATGAGGAAGGTGTGCAGCATGTATTGATGAGGAAGGTGTGCAGCATGTATTGATGAGGAAGGTGTGCAGCGTGTATTGATGAGAGGAGGTGTGCAGCGTGTATTGATGAGGAAGGTGTGCAGCGTGTATTGATGAGGAAGGTGTACAGCATGTATTGATGAGGAAGGTGTGCAGTATGTATTGATGAGGAAGGTGTGCAGCATGTATTGATGAGGAAGGTGTGCAGCATGTATTGATGAGGAAGGTGTGCAGCGTGTATTGATGAGGAAGGTGTGCAGCGTGTATTGATGAGGAAGGTGTGCAGCATGTATTGATGAAGGTGTGCAGCGTGTATTGATGAGGAAGGTGTGCAGCGTGTATTGATGAGGAAGGTGTGCAGCATGTATTGATGAAGGTGTGCAGCATGTATTGATGAGGAAGGTGTGCAGCATGTATTGATGAGGAAGGTGTGCAGCATGTATTGATGAGGAAGGTGTGCAGCATGTATTGATGAGGAAGGTGTGCAGCATGTATTGATGAGGAAGGTGTGCAGCGTGTATTGATGAGGAAGGTGTGCAGCGTGTATTGATGAGGAAGGTGTGCAGTATGTATTGATGAGGAAGGTGTGCAGTATGTATTGATGAGGAAGGTGTGCAGTATGTATTGATGAGGAAGGTGTGCAGCATGTATTGATGAAGGTGTGCAGCGTGTATTGATGAGGAAGGTGTGCAGCATGTATTGATGAAGGTGTGCAGCGTGTATTGATGAGGAAGGTGTGCAGCATGTATTGATGAAGGTGTGCAGCATGTATTGATGAGGAAGGTGTGCAGCATGTATTGATGAAGGTGTGCAGCGTGTATTGATGAGGAAGGTGTGCAGCATGTATTGATGAAGGTGTGCAGCATGTATTGATGAGGAAGGTGTGCAGCATGTATTGATGAGGAAGGTGTGCAGCATGTATTGATGAAGGTGTGCAGCATGTATTGATGAGGAAGGTGTGCAGCATGTATTGATGAAGGTGTGCAGCATGTGTTGATGAGGAAGGTGTGCAGCATGTATTGATGAAGGTGTGCAGCATGTATTGATGAGGAAGGTGTGCAGCATGTATTGATGAGGAAGGTGTGCAGCATGTATTGATGAGGAAGGTGTGCAGCATGTATTGATGAAGGTGTGCAGCATGTGTTGATGAGGAAGGTGTGCAGCATGTATTGATGAGGAAGGTGTGCAGCATGTATTGATGAGGAAGGTGTGCAGCATGTATTGATGAGGAAGGTGTGCAGCATGTATTGATGAGGAAGGTGTGCAGCGTGTATTGATGAGGAAGGTGTGCAGTATGTATTGATGAGGAAGGTGTGCAGCATGTATTGATGTGGAAGGTGTGCAGCATGTATTGATGAGGAAGGTGTGCAGCATGTATTGATGAGGAAGGTGTGCAGCATGTATTGATGAGGAAGGTGTGCAGCATGTATTGATGAGGAAGGTGTGCAGCATGTATTGATGAAGGTGTGCAGCGTGTATTGATGAGGAAGGTGTGCAGCGTGTATTGATGAGGAAGGTGTGCAGCATGTATTGATGAGGAAGGTGTGCAGCATGTATTGATGAGGAAGGTGTGCAGCATGTATTGATGAAGGTGTGCAGCATGTATTGATGAGGAAGGTGTGCAGCATGTATTGATGAGGAAGGTGTGCAGCATGTATTGATGAGGAAGGTGTGCAGCATGTATTGAATTGATGAGGGAAGGTGTGCAGCATGTATTGATGAGGAAGGTGTGCAGCGTGTATTGATGAGGAAGGTGTGCAGCGTGTATTGATGAGGAAGGTGTGCAGCGTGTATTGATGAGGAAGGTGTGCAGCGTGTATTGATGAGGAAGGTGTGGCAGCGTGTATTGATGAGGAAGGTGTGCAGCGTGTATTGATAGGAAGGTGTGCAGCGTGTATTGATGGGAAGGTGTGCAGCGTGTATTGATGAGGAAGGTGTGCAGCGTGTATTGATGAGGAAGGTGTGCAGCGTGTATTGATGAGGAAGGTGTGCAGCGTGTATTGATGAGGAAGGTGTGCAGCGTGTATTGATGAGGAAGGTGTGCAGCGTGTATTGATGAGGAAGGTGTGCAGCGTGTATTGATGAGGGAAGGTGTGCAGCGTGTATTGATGTGGAAGGTGTGCAGCGTGTATTGATGAGGAAGGTGTGTCAGCGTGTATTGATGAGGAAGGTGTGCAGCATGTATTGATGAGGAAGGTGTGCAGCATGTATTGATGAGGAGGTGTGCAGCATGTATTGATGAGGAAGGTGTGCAGCGTGTATTGATGAGGAAGGTGTGCAGCGTGTATTGATGAGGAAGGTGTGCAGCATGTATTGATGAGGAAGGTGTGCAGCATGTATTGATGAGGAAGGTGTGCAGCATGTATTGATGAGGAAGGTGTGCAGCGTGTATTGATGAGGAAGGTGTGCAGCGTGTATTGATGAGGAAGGTGTGCAGCGTGTATTGATGAGGAAGGTGTGCAGCGTGTATTGATGAGGAAGGTGTGCAGCGTGTATTGATGAGGAAGGTGTGCAGCATGTATTGATGAGGAAGGTGTGCAGCATGTATTGATGAGGAAGGTGTGCAGCATGTATTGATGTGGAAGGTTGTGTTTCTCAGTGATCTGTATCTCAAAGACACTGAGTGAGTGACTGGCGCTCATCAGCTTGATGTCAATTCAGTTTCAGGACAAATGAATTCTGATTCTGATCTATTTTCACTCTTTGGAGAACATGGAATAAACCTGAGTTCATGTTACACACACACCCACACACACACACACACACACACACACACACACACACACACACACACACACACACACACACACACACACACCTATACTGGTATGGGTGGTTTGTCAGGACTTTTTCTTCGTACCAGTTCAAACACTGATTTGTGGGGACCCACCTTTCCCTTTGCCGTAGAGAGACCGCAGAGTGCTTGAACTGATCATAAAAAATTCAGCTACATTTCTGGCTATTTAGAATTCAGTTTTGGTAAAAGACTCTAGAGATCTTTAGACCTGAAATTCTACAGGACTGTGGGGACGGGGGCGGGAGTGGGCGTTTCCTGACAAGATTATGACTTATGAGAACCCATGTGGATTAGCTGGACATTACCCATACACACCTATACACAAAGCAAGTCCCTACGTTATGAGGACCACAATGGTATATCTGGACAATATACACACACACACAGATTTGTAGAAAACCTGTACTCATGAGGACAATAATGGTTTCACTGGACATTATCCTCAAACATGTGTTGCGCAATATTTTGTTACTGAAAAAGTAGCCCAATACTTCCGTTTATTTTAAATGTTGAAGAGAAAAAGGTATTTAACTTAGGAGAGCAATGGTACAAAGAGCAGACCACTTTCTCATTTTCACAGACCTCAGTGTTCAGAGACCTGAACATCAACATATGCAGCTTTTTTCTTGTTGCTTTGATGACAAACACCTGTTTTTAATAACCATATGCAGGATTTTGCGATGGACAATACAAGTATTTCTGACAATCTCTTTACCAGTCGGCTGTCATTGAAAAGTGACAGAGGATTTAATTCTGACAGAGACCTTGACATATGATAGAACCCGCGCAGCCTAAAATTATCATGGAAGGAAGTGAAATATTGAGAAATGTTGTCTTTTTAGTGGACAAGTGAATATTAAGTTGATTGAGTTGCTCAGAAATAAGGTCAAGATCAAAAGCTAAGTTGAAATGTAGTCATGTATTGATAACTGGCAATTCTGGTATTGTGACAATACAAACATTGCAAACACTTAAACAGTGAAATAAAAAAATTACAAAAAAGATATAGTTATAGTTAAGTTCATTTGTATAAAATGTACATATCTACTTCTAAAAAATATAAAATACAAAAGTGGCAACATGATTATATACTAGGACGTGCAAATAAAAACATTTGAACAGTCCTG